TTCCTCTCCCTAACCTAAGTCTGAATCTTGCCACTGAAACTGTCTCAGGCTGCTTGCCTCCTGCAAGTACTCGTCCCTGAGCTGGTCAAATCTACTCTTCTCCCCCGACTTGGCCCCCAGCATGTCATGTAACTTTGGGTTAGTCACTGGACTTCTCTGGCCTTTCACTTCCAGGGCTGTAAAATGAGAAGCGTCACGTCTGTCCACACCTTGGCCCCCTCCCCTCCCTGACACTTCCCCCAAACAGAGCTGGCTGCTCACTCTGTGCACCTGAAAAGAGGGAGAGGAAAAGGATGGACCCGCAACCTCCCCACCTCCCACCCCCCCATAGAGCAGCCCTGAAAACACTGCCGCATGGCCTTCGAATCTCTCTGCTCTCATCCTGGCCTGGCTACTTACTCCTGTGGTTCAGTGACTGTCCACATGCTAATGAGCCAAGGAGTCCCAAACCACCATTAAGTCCAGCCCAGGACAGGGACCCGCACACTGTTCAGCTCCAGAAACCCCAGGAGTTAGGCCCAGGGTGGGAGGGAAGTGGCATTCCCACAGAATACAACGGGCCTGATGCCCCTGGAGCTGTGCAGTGAGAAGGCCCTGCCAGACCTCTCTCCCGGGCATCAGGAGCCTCTAGCCAACTGCCTATAGGACATCTCCACCTGAGCATCCCACGGGTACCTCAGCTCAACCTGATTCCACCTGAACTGTCTCTCATTTTAATAATGGCACCATTCTCCCAGAAACTCAGACTCCAAACCTTCCCTCCATCTTACATCTAACCTCTTCCAAGTCCTGTCAACCCTGTCCTGAGCTGTCTGCTTCTCTCCATATTTTCTGCCGTTTTATTTTTTAATTATCAAAAGTTATAGGCACTTGCTATACACCAAGGAGCCCTGGCAGCGCAGTGGTTAAGCTGCTAACCGAAAGGTCAGCAGTTTGAATCCACCAGCTGCTCTGTGGGAGAAAAATGTGGCAGTCTACTTCCAAAATCTAATCTTTTCTGTAAGGATTACAGCCTTGGGAACCCTATGGGGCAGTTCTACTGTGTCCTATAGGGTCACTGTGAGTAGGAATCGACTCCACGGCAATGGGTTTGTTTTGGATTTTGGTTGCCATATGCCTGGTACTTCCCAAGTGCTTTACAAATATTAACTCACTTAGTTCTCACAATCTTCATTTTATAGGTGAGGAAATGAGTCCCAAAGAGGTTAACTGTCTGGCCTAGGGCTGGGATTTGAGCCGAGGCTCCTGCTCCAGAGTCTGTGCTCTGAACCTCTATCATAGTCTCCATGGTCCTCACGGCCCTTCAGTCTCTCCTTCTTCCAATCTCTCCCATACGGTGCTTTCAGACGAGTCTTTCTTTCCTGTTTAAGAAAACACCGTAATGACAAAATTACTACAGCAGTTTGATCTTTCTAAAGCATGACTTGAAACATGTCATTCCGCTGCCCAGAACACATTGAAGCCCCTTACCTTCCCCCACCTGGTGCTAACAGAATAAAGTCCATCCTCTAACTCAGGATTCAAACATGTGACCCCAACAACCTTCCCAGCTCTCCTTGGACATCTCTTCTTCTAGCTCATACCTGCCCACCCCTCCCCAGCACTGCCCATCCCCTTTCTGAGCTTGGAATGGACCTTATTCCCTATGAAGAAAGGTTGTATGTCTGACTCCTCTTTGAGCCACCAAAGCTTCTGCCACAGTGTGTCACACAGAGACACACGACAGACATAATGAATGAACAAACGAATAACTGTGGAACTGGGTTGACTTATGAGGTTGGAAACTAATTATTTCATTAAACAATACTTGTGGAACCTTTAAGGCTAATACCAAATAGCTTACACTGAGAGCTTATGATGTGCTAGATGCCATGCTGAACACTTTACATATATTATGATTTAATCCTCTCTACAATTCTATGAAGTCTATACTATCATTAGCCCCCATTTTATAAACAAGGAAACAGGCTCTGAGAAAAGAGTCATATAGCTGTTAAGAAGAAGAGCTGGAGTTTGAACTGAGGCTGCCTTGCTCTTGACCACCACACCTAACTGCCTCCTGGACTATGGGACTGTGTTAGTTATCCAGTGCTGATACAACAGAAATACCACAAGTGAGTGACTTTAACAAGCAGAAATTTATTTTCTCACTGTTTAGAAGGCTAGAAGTCCAAATTCAGAGCGCTGGCTTTAGGGGAAGTCTTTCTCTCTCTATCAGCTGTGGAGGAAGGTCCTTGTCTCTTCAGCTTGTTTCCTTGTTCCTCAGAGATCTCCATGTGACTTGGCATCTCTCTTCCCCCATCTCAACTTGCTAGTTTGCATTTAATCTCTTTTACATCTCAAAAGAGATTGACTCAAGATACACCCGACACTAACCCTGTCTCGTTAACGTAACAAAAACAATCCATTCCCAAATGGGATTATAACCACAGGCATAGAGATTAGGAATTACAACACATATTTGGGGGGGACACAGTTCAATCCATAACAGAGGCCAAAGAGGCTTCCTGGAGGAGGTGGCATTTGAGCTGTCAAACAGGAGAAGAAAACAATCCAGAACACAGATGCAGAGAGGAAGGGGCAAGCCAGAACCTGGAATTGCCAGGCAGAGCTGGAGCAACAGTACTGGGGGCCAGGGAGCAGCCTGTGAGATAAAGGGGTGGAGGAGCGGAGCTAGGGAGAAGAAGAGAGAGGGGTCAGGAGATATGAACAGGTGGACAAGTTGTAGACTGGTATGTGAGGTAGAGAGAAAGTGAGTCAGGGAGACAAGGGCTGGGAAGGGAGGAGGCCAGAGAGGACAAGGGGGGGCTCAGGTTTGTGGGGCTCCAGCTGAGTCACCTGGACAGGGAGACCCAGGCTTAAGTGTGGATGTGGGGAAGTTGGTGGTTATAGAGTGGGAGGAAAAGGGCGAGTAGAGGTGGAATAAGGACTTTGATTTACCTGCCCACCAAGGCCCTACCTTCTGGTCAGTCTTAGGTGGGTCTAACTGGGAGATGACAGGAAAGCAGAGTTACCTGTCCACTCCCACCTGTACCAGATCTTGGTTTCTCATTTCCTCTAGGAGGTCCATATCCTTCTTTTAGGCAGATCTCTGAGTCCTCTCACCTGCAGCCCCCGGAGCCATCAGAGACACCTTGGGAGGAGAGTGCCCAGTTAACAAAAATAACAACAATCCACATGCTTCGTGGTCTTCAGAGTAGCTTCACCACAATAAACGAGATGTCTTACAATCAGTCTAGGATGGACAGGGTTTTGCTGTCATCCTCCTTTTCACAGCAGGCTGCTGCAGCTCAGAGAGGTTAAGGGCCTTGCTAAGCTCACATGGCCCAGTGGGTGACCAGGTTGGAACTTGAGTCCAGCTCTTGAGATTGCAAACCTCACAGTGACACTGCAGCAGCTGCAGACAACAGGGCCCGGTGACAGCCGAGTCCCAAGGTCAAGACTGGGGAAGGAGACGAAACAGGCGCAGGAAAGGGAGAGGGGGATAGAGGCAGGGGTGATGGAGGCTGAGAGAAGAGGCAGGAAGAGAGAGATGGAGGCTGAAAGTAGAGGCAGGGGGTTGGAAAACCTTACGACAGAACTAGAGGAGCCTCCAGAAAGACCGGGTTAAATGACCCAGAAAGGTTGAAAGAACAGGAGCCCATTCTTCTACGTCAACTGGTATATCATAATCCGTATAGACAATGTTTTACATTCTTCCTGCGTGAGTAGTGACTGGGATCTTAAAAGCTTGCTAGTGGCCATCTAAGACACAATTGGTCTCTTCCCATCTGGAGTAAAGATGAGTGAAGAAAACCAAAGACTCATGGAAACAATCAGTCCAAAGGACTAATGGACCACATGAACCATGGCCTCCACTAGCCTGAGATCAAAAGAACTAGATGGTACCCAGCTACAACTACCTCCCGATCTGACTGGGACCACAATAGTAGGTCATGGACAGAGAGGGAGAGAAATGTAGAACAAAATTCAAACTCATAAATAAGACGAGACTTAATGGTCTGATAGAGACTGGTGGCTGTGGCCGTTAGACTGTGGCCGTTAGACACCCTGCAGACTTGGAACTGAAATCACTCCCGGAGATCATACGATAGCCATACAATAGACAGGTGAACAATAACACCAGTAGGAATGTACAATTCAGAGCAATCAACTATATGAGACCTAAAGGGCAGCATTTGCCCAAAAGCAAAGTTCAGAAGGACAGTAGGGCAACCAGTGTCACGAAACAAGCTGTATGTAGATTGTTGAATGGGAAACTAATTTGCCCTGTAAACTTTCACCTGAACAACAATAAAATGTAAACAACAACAACAACAACAACAAAACAGAAGTCTATCCTACCATACCATGTCTCTGTGAGACAAGGTGGGGAGGGTTTTATTGTTCTCATTTCACAGGCGAAAAAATTGAGGCAAGGAGTGGGGCCTACACAGCTTGCCCAAAGGCCCATAGGAACTTAGGGCCCAGGAGCCCTGTTAGAAGCCCGGCAGGGTACACAGACGGTCTGGGCCTTTTCCCACTGTACAGAGGATGATGAAACAGAGATGACAGAGTAGGTGATGGAGACAGAAATCAGGGCCACATCCAAAGAGGGAGGGAAAAAAGGAAGCGTCACGGATGGAGCCTGTCAGCGGCAGAGATGGTGGCGATAAGGCCCTGACACTCGGCTCTGTTACCCGGCGGGCAGCATCAGCTGGTCGGGTGTCACCGAGCCGTCTGCACCTCCTCCCGCCCCCGCTGACCCATTCACTTGGGCTGCTCCACAGCGCGACGCTCAGCAGTCCCCGGGGCGGGGGGGGGGGGGGGGGGGGGGCAGGGGGAGAGGGAGCTGGAGGGGGCTGGTGAACGCGCCTCCTCCCCCATCAGCTCTCGAATCTGCAGCGTCCTCCGTCGCATCCTCCAGCCCCCACCCCCCACCCCTCCTGTGCGCCCAGATGGTATGCTCCTGCAGGCCTGGACCGACTGCAGCGGATGTTGCTAGAACCCACGCGGAGGAAGGAAGAGACGCAGGGAGGCTGCGGTGACCCAAGCGGCTGCTTCTGCCTCAGGGACCCCTTCCCAGAGAGACGGCACCATGACCCAGGGAAAGGTAGGGGCATCTCCCCCACCCCCCCATACCTGCACCATCGTCCATCCTCCATCCTCTGGCTCCCTGCCTTCCTGCATCCCAAGCAAGGTGTCTAGGCCACTCTAAGCATCCTCCCCTGGCTCTTGTGCAAATGGTCCTCTGTGGTCCTTGTTGAAATCGGAGGACCAAAAGGTCCAATTTAAGGAATAAGTCAGGGCCTCTTCCCACCCACCAGGCTCACCTCTCCTTCAGGCTGTCCCTTGTCTTCTTTCCAACCCATGCTTCAGCATCCCAGGACCCTTCACAGGACCCTTAAGGGGCAGGCATGGGTGACCAGTGTGTGTGTGTGTGTGTGTGCGCGCGCGTATGCATATGTGTGTGTATTCCTGGTAAGCCCCGAGGGGCAGTGCCTATGGGACCCTCTGGTCCACCTCTCCAATCCCAAACCCAGCCACTTCATGCTCATCTTGCACCCTCCACAAAAACACTCCCCACCCAATGTCCTGTCATTTTTCCATATCTGCATCCCCTGTGGTTGGGGATTACTATGGCAACCCTGCATCAGGATGCTCTAATTTTTGTTTTGTTTTTGGCTGGGGCATGGGACTGGATGAGACTGGATAAAACGTCTTTTCTTTTTTATTTTCTTTCAGTTTTAGGCCTGAATTGTAAGGGAGGGGCTGGGGCAGAGAGTTGGCTGGCCTAATAGGGTTATGTAACATCAACAGCCTGTGGAATTATACAACCACCAGGGCCTGGGCAAGCGGGGAGGATCCTCTGGACCTCTGTTTGGGGGTACCAAGGATTGGGCAGAGAAACCAGTAGAGGGACCTCCCCTATAATCCCTCTTCTTGTCTTGGAGATGAACCTTAGAGCCAGTGGCATCTTTGCTGGGTTCTCAGACCCTCCTGACTCTGTTTTTAAGCTCATTCAGCCTCAAAATGATGTCATTGGGTGATGCCATCTCCTGTCATTGGTCATGTCTCATTTGGGAATGTTGGATGTGGGGAGATGGCAAGGCCCTGGAGGCTCCAGGTACCTGAGAGGCAGGGTAGGGGCTAGTGAAGAGGACCAGCTTTGGACAGGGCTGAAGTTAAAAATGATCATCCTTTTCAGGCTTGAGCACTAAGGCTACGCCCAGAGGGCGTCCTGGTGAGCCTGGGTCTGGTGGGCTGGGATGGACTGTCCTGGGCATGACCTTTCTGGTCTTGGCAATGAATGGGTTTAGGGGAGGGAAGGAAGCTTGATGAGCCAGGGCCTCATTCCCTCAGGCCTGGGTTCTGAGTCCCTTCACCAAGAAGGCCTGGGGAGTGTTCACTGTGGTGAAAATGAAGACACTCACCCCTTCTGGTCCTCTCCCTCCACCCTTACCCTATACCCACCAGTCACTTTGCTGATGCTGCCTCTTGTCTTTGGGTGAATGCATTCATTCTGCCCCTTGCCCCAGCTTGTCTGGCCCAGTTCACAGGCTTCCTTGGGGATGAAAAAGACTCCCCCAGTTCAATGGGCCTAGGGCTGAATGGGAACCAGAGACCTTCAGGTCCTTGCCTGTCTCTGGGCTACCTCAGAATTGCCCTGCAAAGAACTCTGAAGCCTCCTCAATGGCCGCTCAGGTTTAATGTGTTCTTTTTGGAATGGCACCTAAGTCCCATGTCCTGAGGTTCTGCCCTTTTGTTGCTGTTTCTGTTTTCATACCACCCACTTCATCCCAATCTTCTCTTCTCCGGCTGCACTATTCAGGCCCTCAGAACTCATATCCTCTCACCAAAGCTAAAGGGGAGCACTGCGGGGTGGGGGGTACATCTGAGTGTGAAAGGACTTGAGATTTCAACCTGCCATTGGCACATTTCCTTCTGGGCCTCAGTTTCCTCCTCTGTAAAATGAAGGAAGGGCTGAACTAGATGCCTTCTGAGGTCCCTTCCAGCAGTGACATTTTGTGATTTGGTTCTGGTCTGGGGGAGAGGCTGAGGTTTGGGTAGGATGGGGCCAGACCATGCCCTTAGCCAGGGGCCTCTTGCCGTTCCTCCACTCCACAGTCCCCATTTCTTTTCTTCTTTTCTCTCTCTTCCCCCCCTTCTAGCCCCCTGCTCTCCCCCTTTGCATTCCCCCTGTGTCATCTCGAGCCCAGCAGGAGGAGGCCAGTTCCAGTGGAAGGTGCCCGGGCTCTGCAGCCCAGTAGGTCACGTGTGGCTCTGTGACCTTGGATGAGTCACTTCTCTCTGATCCTCAGTTCCTTCATTTAAAAACAGGAGTCAATGTGTGGCTAATTGCCTCCATGAACAACTACTTCCTTTGCAATGAAACCAGAGGAACTGGATGGCGCCCAGCTACAATTATTGAACATGTTGGTCAAAGATTCTATAGAAGAATCCTGATCAAAAGGGGGAAAATGCAGAACTGAATTTCAAATTCTCATAGAAGCCAGATTTTCTGGAGCCATGGAGGCTGGATGAACTCCCGAAACTATACCCCAAGATAATCTTTAAACCTTAACCCAAAAGTATTCCCTGAAATCTTCTTAAAACCAAACAATAGTTTAGCTTAACTAGTAAAGAAGGTCTGCCTTGCAGAATTTTGCTCATTTAAGAACTATCTGTATGGGATCAAACTGACAACAGCAACTCGAAAGATTAGATAGGAACCTTAGGGGACAGTGAGCCTGTGTTAATGGGGGAGGAACAACTCAGAAATGAGGGTGAGAATGGTTGCACAAGTCAAAGAATGTAATCAATGTCACTGAATTGTACGTGTAAAAATTGTTGAACTGGTGTATGTTTTGCTGTGTATATTCTCAACAGCAACAAAAAAATAAATAAAATTAAACAAAAAAAAACAGGAGTCAAAATACAACTAGTGGGGTAGCAGGGAAAATGAGAGAAGCTTTCATTAAATAATATATTTGAGGGCCTGCTATGTTCTAGGCTCTTCCTTGGACCCCAGGGAAACAGCAGAACAAAACAGGCCAGATCTCTGCTCTGGCACTAACCTCCCAGGGACAGTGACAACCAATGTGGCTGTGCTCAGAATTTTCTCCTTCCTCAGTTCTTATCCCAGCTCCACTATGTGTCCTGGCCAGCCCTGACCCTCCTGGTGCTCAGCTTTTCCAGCTAGAAAATAGGGAGGTTCTTGTCTGCTCCCCTTTTCTCCTAGTGCAGATGAGAAGTATCCAGGGAAGTTCCAGGCATTGAGGGGCTGGTGAGGAGGGTTTGGAAGGCTTCCTTTCCCTGGTGATTGTCTCTACCTCTACCCCACAGCTCTCCGTGGCTAACAAGGCCCCCGGGACCGAGGGGCAGCAGCAGGCGAATGGCGAGAAGAAGGAGGCTCCAGCAGTGCCCTCTGCCCCACCTTCCTATGAGGAGGCCACCTCTGGAGAGGGGCTGAAGGCAGGCGCCTTCCCCCCGGCCCCCACGGCTGTGCCTCTCCACCCCAGCTGGGCCTATGTGGACCCCAGTAAGTCTGTTAGTTCCTGGAGGCTGAGCATCAAGGCGGGTGGTGGGTCCAGATGGAAAAGTTGGGTAGGAGGAAGTTGCCCAGAAGGAGATGCACTTTGGGTTGTTGTATGCTCTGTTGTCAAAGGCTTGGGATTTGGAGGACTCTTCTGAGGGTAGATCAAGAAGGATTCCATGAAAAGGGAGAGATATAATGTCTGCAGTCAGGGTGTTCTCGAGTGAAGAAGAGGGCATTTTTCCAGATCACTGAACTAAGGCAAATGGAGGAGTTGGATGGAGGAGAAAAACCAGAGGCCAGTCTATAAAGGCCCTCCTAGAAGAAAAGGAGTGCAGAGAAGGGTGGGGAAGGTCAGAGTAGACTAAGGAAGGGGCAGTATGAGGCTGCAGCTTGCCAAGGCCTTAGCAGGGGCTGGCTCCCGTGGACCCACTCTGTGAGAGAATGTGTAATGTTTACCCATTGGATGGTCTGAAACCTTAGGACGGTCTGGTCCGCCGGAGGCCCAGGGCACTGGGAATCCACATCACTGGTCACCCTCCTTGTCTCTTCCGTTCCCCAAGCCTTTGTTGGGGGAAGGAGAGCAAGATGTGAGGGAGGTGTGTGGATACCAGCTGGGACCTCAGTGTCCCTCACAGCTGGCATGATTCACAGCCAACTCACCAGCTGACTGTGAGCTTCTTGCAGACCAAGAACCCCAGTTGGTGGGAGCTCCTCTGCTGAGTTGAGCTGCCTGTGGGGAGCTTTGCCTCAAGGTGGGGAACATAGAGCTCCCCCCACCCACCACGCCATCTCCTGCCAGCTGTGAGGATGGGGCCCCTCTCAATTCCTCCTCAGCCTTTCTGCCTCCCTCAGCAGCCCCTCGACCTCTCCCTCCCCCTCCCCTACCAGGCCCTCCCACCCCCAACAACAGTAAGATTCTAGAAGGGATCCCAGGGACAATGCCCCAGACAGAGCCTCTGCTCACAGGGACTGGCCACCATGGTTCACACTTCTTACCACAAACTGCCTCAGGCCAGTGCCCATACCTACCCTACTGTGACCTACTGGAAGGTCAATGAAGGTTTGGCATTCTTGGGTACCCTTCTCACTGCCCCAGACAATCCACAGAACTGCTTTCCCTCTCCTTTTCTCCCCTTTTGTAGCCTGGCCACTTGGGCTTTTGACAAGGAGTAGGTGGACAGAGCAGGAAAGAGAGGGTGAGGGTCTCCAGGCCCCAGGCTTGCAGTGGGTCCACTTCTCTCCCCCTTCCTCACTTCCCATATCTTGGTTGCCTTCAGGAATGTTTTCCAAGGAACTGTCAGGACAGGAAGGAAGCTCATCTCAGTCGACAGCTGACAAACTTTTGCTAAGTGTGTGCACAGTGTCCGGTACTGAGCTAACTTCTGAGGATGCATAGAATTGCAAGACCTGCAGTGATTTGTGCCCTCACCGAGCTAACGGTGTAAATGGCTACAATACAATGAAATAGATGCAGTAATAGACGCCTGGGCAGCTCACTTAACTCTGATAATCAGAGAAGGCTTCCTGGAGGAAGGGGTATATCCACACTGAGTCTTGAAGGATGGACAGGAGTTAACCTGGTGAAGAGGTAGGGAAGAGAGTGTTCAAGGCTGAAGGAATAGAATGTGCAGGATCCCAGAGGCAAGAGAGCTTGTGGCTGAAAAAATATACTCAGGCTAGAAAAAGTGGGAGGGAGTAATGTGCAATGGGAGACAGGAAGGCCCTGCTCACACGAGGCTATGGAAGCTTTGATAAGGAATTTGAAGTTGAATAAAGAGCAGTGGAGTCCCATCCAAGAGCTCTAAACAGGACAGTGCCATGGTCAGCTTTGCTTGTTTTGGAAGACCAAGGAGGCTATTGTTGTGGAGGGAAGATCATGGGGAGCTGGCAGGGGCAGCATGGGCAGATTTGAGGACTTGGGAATGCTAGTCTGAAGGCAGCATACTCCCCATCAGTCACAGAGCCATAGGCCTTCATTGTTATCTTGTTTAGTCCTCTTGAGGTGGGTATCACCGACCCTATCATAGAAAAGAGGCTCAGAGACGGTTGGTGACTTGCTCAAGATCACACAGCTAGTAAATCCACACTCGGATCTGTCTGACTGTAGAGTGCCCATGCTTTTCCAAAAGCCTGAGTTCTGGGACCAGAACCTGAGTCTTCATCCCATCCACATCCCCACTTCTCACCCTTGTCCTGGCTTTATTTCCCCTCCCAGGCCTCCCCACAGTCCTGCTTCCCAGCTGGAGCACCAGCAGGTCTACCTTCTGCCCTTATTTCCACACCCAACTAGTCTGCGGTCCCTGACCCAAGGGCCTCAGAGTGGAGGCCCTGGGATGTGCTTGGTGGCCCAGGGAGAGTGGATGTCGCTCTGTCATCCTTGACTCCCACCACCAGGGAGCCAGTGTCCAGGGAGAGGGGGTGGGGAACCAGATGGAAGGGTCACATATGTATGGCAGTATGGCCCCTGGAAGCCCTGGTGAGAGTGCAAGGGAAGGGGAGATGAAAGTTTATTCCCAGGACCCAGAGCAGAAAAAGCAAGAAGTGACTAGAGAGGGATTTGGGAGGAGTAGGGTGGAGTGGGGTGTTGGCTTGAGAATGGGGCTGGAGAAAAGGGCTTCAGCAGGCCCGGAGGGTCAGTTTGACAACCAGGCAGCTCTGAGCGGGTGACCCCTGGGGTAGTATTTATATGTACGGGGTGCCCCTCACAGCCCCTCCCTCTGCCCACCCCAGGTAGCACCAACTATGAAAGCGGTTTCCCCACTGGAGGCCTCGAGCGCTTCACCACCTTCAGTTGGGATGACCAGAAAGTTCGTCGAGTCTTCATCAGAAAGGTAACTGCCTCTTCCAGCTCTCTGGAATTGGGAGACTAGGTGGAGGAGAGCCCCTGAGCGGACCCTGGCCCAACCCTCTGCCTGTGCAGAGGTCATCTCTCCTACCTTCTCTTGTAATCCCAACTGGCAGCACCTATCGGGGAGGGTCTCCTTAGTTCTCACCTAGTGCCCCTTGCTGTGGCCTAAGCACATTGTCTCTTCTTTCCAGATACTGTGGGCCCCTTTCCTGTGGGTGTGGGCTCTGGAGGGTCTTTTCTCCCCTTTCGTCCTGGATCCATTCCAATGATTCCTAGAAAGAAAGGTGTGGATCCAGAGAAGGGTAGATGGAGTCACTAGGAGGCTAGAGGCTCCTTGCCGGGGACTCACAGGGCTCCCAAGCTAAGTGGAACTCCTTTCTGCCCCCAGGTCTATACCATCCTGCTGATCCAGTTGCTGGTGACCTTGGGTGTTGTGGCTCTCTTTACCTTCTGGTGAGTTGACAACATGGACTGGCACCTTTCAGGGGTGGCAATGACCAGGCATGGGCAGGGAGACAGAATCAGATTTCTCTTGGAATGTTTGCCTGAGGAAGTTTGTTCAGGGGCCCATAAGAAATTGGACAGTGGGTCCCAAATGACCCCGCATGTGGGGAAGAACCTCAGAGAGTGCACATGGGTGAGGAGTCCTCTGTCCAGAGTGGGCCGGGGGTCTGGATGCACAGGTGCTGCTGGACCTACAGGTGACGGTGAGGCAGTCACTCCTCTCAGGTCCACTGGCCCCACACCAGGCGTCTTCAGGCCCTTGGAGCCTGGGACTGTGAGCTGGGGCTCCCTGAACCTCCAGGGGCTACATTCCCTTTTTCTTCCTCCCAAATCCCATGAGCTGTGTGGGGCAGGTAGATGTTGAACCAGAAATAGAGACTGAGGGTAATTTCTGACTCTCCCTTCCCTCCCTTCTCTGCAGTGACCCCGTCAAGAACTATGTCCAGGCCAACCCAGGCTGGTACTGGGCATCCTAGTAAGTATGCCCCGGTCCCCCAGGCTTCCTCCCAGAGACCCATCAGTATCATGAGGAGGAGTTCTGTTGACAGATCCCAAGCCCATGGCTTCCCCCAACCCTGTAGGGACTGTCTTCACAGGTGGCCCAGTTTTGCTTACTTCAGAGCATGTCCAGAGGATCCTCTAGGGGTATTAAGATCTGAGGGAGAAGGGAGAAAGTGGGGAGCAGGTTCTGGCACCTGCACAAGGAAGGAAGGATGGGGCTGGGTCCCTGGCTGAAGAGACCCAGACATTGGCCTTGAGGGGAGCTGGGAAACCTTGTTCCACACTAATGATAATGTTGCTACTCTTATTAATATTATTGTTATTAATGCTTATGAATTACTAATCATAATGGCTACCACTTAAAGAGTGCCTAATAAGGGCTGGGCATTGTTTTACGTGCTTAATGGACAGTATGGCATTCTATCCTTAACTCTACTTGTATGATTACCTCAGAAACCTGAGGCTAAGAGAGGTTGAGTAATTTGCCCAAGGTCACACAGCTAGTCAGTTGTTGAGCTGGGATCTGAACCCTGGACTCAGGTTAAGACTGTGCTCTTAGCCACTCTGCTTGGTTGACTCCCTTCAGCCTGTGGGCCACTTGGCTCCTATTTTACCTATACTCTTTAAGGAACATGGCAGATAACTTGAGTGAATAGGTTTGAAGGTGTGAGTGATTCTGACCCATCCTATCTGGCAATTCAGGGGTCATTCTGGATAATTCCAGGCCAGAATCACCCTGGGGCTCAGAAGAGAACTGCTCTGGCTACAGTCTCCTCCTGGCACCCACTGCAGCCCCAGCCCTGTCCTGGGGCTGCTGAGAAGAAGTCCTCTGCATGGGAAGGGGCGGGCAGTATAAGGCAGCAGAAGAAGGAAGGAGTGAGCCCTGTATACCAGAGTGCTCAGTCCACACTGGGGGTTCACCTCAGAAGATGAATGAGGAGGACTGGGGCAGTGTCCCAGGGAGGGGAATAACTTAAGCAAAAGCATGGAAGTGAGAATGGAGGTGGTACAATTGGTACATTAGGGACTAGACTGGCCAAGGGCTGGGGAACTCTGTGTGGGGAACCCTAGGACATCTAGGAGCGCAGTGGGGCTTACATGGTGGAGGTTATGAATGCCCAGCAAGGCTCTCCTAGGCCTGTTCCTGGAGGGGAGCTGGTAGGGAGGTGGGCTCAGCCCCTGGACCACCGGAGCCCACAGTGGTCCCAGAGTGCTTTACGTTAACACAAGCCTGCCAAAGGCTGGCAGGAAGCAGACTCATCCTGGCCTCTGTGGCTCCTGGGAGGAGCGGAGCTGGCTTGGTCAGGTTGGGGGTTCAGAGACAAGACATTTACACCAAAAGCCTTTCTCAGCGCACAGGGAAGAGGGCTGTCTGCAGACCAGGCAGGAAAGTGTATGCTTTGGGGAACTGGAAGGCACAGTCTGGTAAAGCTAATGAGCCCCCAGGGACTGCTCCAGGGCCAGCCCACACTGCAGGTTGGCATGGCTCCCAGCGCATCAGCTCTGCCTGGCAGCCTCGAGTACCCCATGAACTTGGGAATAGAGTCTCCAGGCCTCTTTCCAAGCCTTCTGTGGGAGGGTCTGTGGGACCCCATGCTTTGACCAGAAGGTGGAAGGGGGACAGCCCAGGAATGAGCAGACCCAGGAAGTGGGGGCAGAGCTCACCCCATAGGAGGCAGTGAGAATTGTGGTGAGATGTGGAGTCCTTCCTCCTAGTTCCCTCCTGGCTCTGTATCTGGGGGTATGGGGTAGGTTCAGGCGTGGGGGTGGGGGAGGAGGGAACATCATCACTTGAGTTGGAAGTGGACATAGACTGTGTGTTTTTCCTGGAAGTGCCCCAAAGTCTTAAAGGTTCTTGGGAATTTCACCACCAGGGGGCTGCCCTGTTGTTCTAGGAAGCCCACCTGGAGCTCTGCCCTGCCCCCTCCCCACCCCTCAGCTCTATCCATTCTGCCCCTTGAGTCTACCTCTGTGTCTGAGTCCTGGTGGGTCTCACCTCCTCCAACACACCAAGTGTCCTCTGAGGGCTCAGCCTTTTAGAGTAACAATAATAGCAATAAGAATAAATAAGAATAAAGTGCTAAGCACTTCACATATATTTCTTCATTTGATCCTTACAACCACCATCCTAGACAGATACTATTCTATTATTACTTCCATTTTACAATGAGGAAACTGAGGCTCAGAGAGACGTTATTGCTTCCTAATTAGCAATAACTAAAAAAAAACTCGTTGCCGTCAAGTGACCCTATAGGACAGAGTAGAACTGCCCCATAAGGCTTCCAAGGAGCCATTGGTGGATTCGAACTGTTGACCTTCTGGTTAGCAGCTGTATCACTTAACTACTGCACCACCAGGGCTCCAATCAGCAATAGCAAAGATTAAAACCCAGATCTTTCTGTCGCAAAGATGGTGCACGTACCCTCTGTGCTCAGTTGTCTCCCCTAAGCCCAGGACTGGGTCCTGGAGCAAGACAAGGTGCGAGACGACCCTGGGTTTGGTAGCTGACCTTTACCTGAGCCTCACAACCCCCCCACAAAACACACACACACATACACACACACCCTGTAAATAGCCTGTGGCTTCAACCCAAACTCTGATGTGCAAGTCAGTCTTTCACTTGTCCTGTGACTCATTCTCTGCCCCCTGGGATGACAGCCTCCTCTCCTCCTGCTTTCTCAAGGCCTCAGTCATCTCCCTCCATGGGTTTTCACCATATTGTCTGAGAGTTCTCACTGAGCCTCAGCGGGAACTGCAGGGCTCCCTTTAGGGAAGGAGTAAGGGCTGGGAGTGAGGGAAAAAAAAACAGGCAGACTGTGAGACCAGAGCTAGGGCAGAGGCGGGTCAGAGCTTCTCCACGAAGCTGTCAGTCAGCCAGCTTCTAATTAGAATAATAACAGCTCTGTGCTAAATATGCATTGTCGCCTTCAGTCCTCCCAACAGCCCAGTGAGTTGGTACCATTATTCCTGTTTTACAAATGAGGGAACTGGGGCTCGGCAATTAGGTACCTTGCCCAAGGTCACACAATAAATAGTAGTGATAGCGCTGGGATGTGAATGCAGGATTGAATGGCTCTAAAGCCTTGTTCCCGATCACTGGCTGTGCCATAATTCCCATGTCTTCAGTCTCTGCCCTTCCTCCCAACCCGACCCCTTGTATTGATTGAGAAGCTATGGACCAGAGAGAAAAGGTGACCGGGAGCTTGTCCTCAGGAAGCTTCCAGTGTAGCCAGGGTGACAGGACCCTCACTCAGGATACATAGGCAAGGGTATTATCAATATTGAAGTGACTGACCAGTGACTCTAGATCAGAAGAGAGCAGATGCCAGCGTTTTTCTCAGCCAGGGCCCTGTTGGCGTTTTGGGTAAGACAGTTCCACTGTTTCACATAGACCAAGATGTTTAGAGCCCTGTTCGCTAGCACTAGATACCAATAGAACCCCCCCCCAATCACTGTGACAATAGTCCCACATTATTTGAGAACCATTGAAGAAGCTGAAGAATAAGAAAAGTTTAAGACAGAGGGATCTTTTTCACCAAATTTAATGGGCTTGTCTCAACCCCTACATACCTGGCTCTTTGGCATCATCTGGCATTTCATTCAGCAGATATTTAGAGACTACCTACCAGCTACCAAGGTCCCTGGATGGCACAAATGGTTTGCATTCGACTGCTAACTGAAGGGTTAGCTGTTCAAACCCACCCAACAGCGCTACAGAAGAAAGGCCTGGTGATCTGCTTTGGTAAAATTACAGCCAAAAAAAAACCCTGTGAGGGGAGTTCTACTCTGTAACATATGGGGTTGCCGTGACTCAGAATCAACTCAGCAGCAACGGGTTTGGTTTGTTTTTTCACCAGATGTCAGGCACCAGGTTAGATGTTGGGAATACAAAATGAATGTCGCAGGCTAGCCCCCCAGATGCTCTACCTGGGTGGCCGGTCAGATAAGTAGGCCTGCAGGGTATGGGGGTAAGCCCCTATAGCCCAGGCATAGTTGTTCTTGCCAACCTATCCTTTCCAGGCAAGAGCAGAGTGTGAGGGCACATTAAGGGAGTGCAGAGTGTGTTGCGATGAGACGCAGAGTGGAGGAGGCAGAGTGTGATCAGAGATGGACTGGAGAGGGGGCAGGAGTGGGTCATGCAGGATTTTGCCAGGTCTTTGAGGATTTTAAAAAGAGGAGCCATGTGATCAGATCTGCCTGTAGCTCGGAGGGCAGAAGGCAGGGCTAGAGGCAGGAGGACCAGATGGATTCCTGCAACAGTCCAGGCTCCACCTAAAGTGAGGGTAGTGGGGATGGAGAGAAGCAGACAGATGTGAGAGTTGCTTGGGTAGGAGGATCAACAGGTCCAGGTGATTAATTGGCCAGGGTGAGGTGAGAGTCAAGGATGATGCTGAGGTCTCTGCAATAAAGGATGCAGAAGAAGGGGCAGGGAAGGTGGAGAGTTCAGTTCTAACCTGTTGAGTTGTAAGCATTTCTGAATTGCCCTGTCTGCCCAGTAGGCAGTTGGATTTTCAGGTCTGGGGTTGAGAAAGAAAACTTAGGTTGGAAATATGAGAATTTGCCTGATAAGAGGAGTCATGGGAGTGAATGATTCCCATCTCCCACCCCACCGAACCTCCAGGGAGAGCGTGAAGAGAAAAGAGCCCAGTCAGGAACCAGGCATATTCAGAGACGCCCTGAAGGACACTGAGAAGCAGTGGCCAGGGAGGTAGGAGGGAACCCATATGGAACCAAGGGGAAGCAGTGGGAGTGATTAAATGTTGTTTAGAAGTCAGGTAAGATAAAGACTGATAAGTGACAATTGGACTCAACAAGGTCACAGTGACGTGGCAAAACCAGCTCTCATAACATGGGCTTGAGACTGGCTTTGTTGGGTTGAGGAGTAGCTGGGAGCTGGGGAAGAGGAAACATTGAGTGGAGACAACTCTTTTAAGAAGCTTGGCTATCAGAGAGGATAAAGTGGCAGTAGCTAGAGCCAGGGAAGATGCTGGTTAAAGCGAGAAGGTTTGTGTGGAGGAGAGGTGCCAGTGAGAAGGTTGAAGATATTAGAGATGGCTGTGGCAGTTGAGGGCTGAGACCCAAAGCCCAGGTTGGAGAGCTTTGCCTGCGATGGGAGGTGACATCAGAGAGCACAGATGTGATTCATGGAGGAGCCCCACCTCATCATCTGGAATTTTTCTGGGACTCATCAGGCCAGGCTGTGCGGAATTGAGGCAACTGGGAGGTTTGCAGATGGGACAGGAGACCACGTACTGGTGGTGGCACTAATCTGGGTAGGCATGGATATGCCCCATCCTTGGGTCCTCAGCCCTTGTCGTCCACCTCCTGCACTGGCCTCAGCCGCCACTGCTCTCCAGAAAGTCCTCAGTCTTCAACCCCTGTCTCTGGGCTGCCCCTGAGCTCCTGCCAGCTTCTCACTGGACACTGCCACCTAATCCAAGCAATTCATTCCACAAGCACTTTCTGCTTCCTGCCAGGCACTGGCAGGACCAACAAGGGCCCTGCCCTTGCTGAGCTTACAGTCTAATAGGGTAAACCAACAACGAAGTAACTAACAAGATGATTACAGGCAGAGAAGGGCTGTGAAGGGTATGAATGAGACAGTGGTTATAAGCAAGGACTCTGAAGCCAGAGTGCCTGGCTTCTAATCCTGCTTCAGCTGTGTGGTAGCTGCATAACTTTTGATACCTGACCTCTCTGTGCCTCACTTGTAAAGAACATACTTTATAGAGAAGATAAGAGGATGAAATTGGTTAATATTTGCAAAGTGCTCAGAGCTATGCCTGGCACATAGAAAATACTGTATACCATCTTTTTGTTTTAAGTAATGTAGTGTCTGGGGAGGCCACTTTGGTTTGGGTGGTTAGGGACAGCTTTCGCACGGCACCTAAAGTTCAATACACCTACTCCTCACTTATCAACTATCTTATTATCTGATATTTTGCATTTACTACTATAGTAAAAATCTACTTTCCAATTATTTTGCACATTAACAACGTATGTCTGGTGGTAATGAAATCCGAGGTGCGAGACAAAAGTAACACTGGCTGTGACGGTTAAGGTTACGTGTCAGCTTGGCTGGGCCATGATTCTCAGTGGTTTGGCAGTTATGTAATGATGTAATCTGGCAGTTATGTAATGAGGTAATCATTCTCCATTTTGTGATCTGATGTAGTCATCCTCCATTTTTGCATAATGCCAATTCGCATAACAACCTGATCTTTGGAACCTAACCATGTTGATAAGTGAGGAGTGGGTGTATTTCTAGAAGTAGGCTCATCCTATCCCCTTCCTCTCTTTTTGGAATTGGACCACCACTCTGCGCACTGCCAGGATGACCATAGCCTTCTCTCCTCCTCCACTCTGTTCACCCTTTTGGCTGCCCTGTGGGCAAGGGTGGCAGAGAGTGGGATGAGCAGGGGTGGGGGGGCTGGGTGGAGGGGCTTTAGAAGGGACTCACTGATGCCCTGATGCACCCCATCCATCTGTCTCTCTCAGCGCTGTGTTCTTTGTGACGTATCTGACCCTGGCCTGCTGCTCTGGACCCAGGTACAGTGATGGTTTCTGGAAACATGAGCCATATCTTGGAAGCTCTGCCCCAGCCCTGCCTGCCACCAGTGTGCTGTGCCCCCCTGAGAGGGCTCCATCCCTCTCTGGGCCTCTGTCAAGCAGGACTGCCTCCCCCCTTCTTTACTTGGCACCTCTGAGTTGAGGGGAGGGTAGACAGACGGGGCAGATGGAGGACATGGGGATGGGGCTGAAGGAAGAGGCTCAGAGGAGTGTGGATGGGGCCAGGCAGAGACCCCTTCCCTGCATCGGGGACCCAGCCTGCAGCCTCTGACACCTTCGACTCTTCTCTGAACCCTGGCTTGTCTTATAGGAGGCATTTCCCCTGGAACCTGATTCTCCTGATGGTCTTTGTAAGTGATGGGGGTGGGGGGCGGGTGGTGGTTGGGGTGGGCTGGGGACAGATGCTGAAGGAGGTAAAGAGGGTGGGCTTTGAGGGCCAGGAAATCTGGGTTGGGACGTCAAATGTGAGGTCCCTGGGGGCCAGGAATATTTTCACCCCACTTCTGCGAAGAGTGAGCCCTGGTGGCATAGTGGTTAAAGCACTTGACTGCTAACCGAAAGGTCAACAGTTAAAACCCACCAACCACTCGGTGGGAGAAAGATGTGACAGTCTCCTTCTGTACACCTTGAAACCCCTATGGAGCAGTTCTAGTCTGTCTTGTAGGGTTACTATGAGTTAGAATTGACTTGACGGGTACGGGTTTGGTTTTTGTTTTTCTGCAAAGAAGTTCTACCCTCTCCCCCTCCCCACCCACGGCACTGTCACTCTTCGTTGTGATTTTGTTTTTAAGGTTTGTACGGGCCATCCTAGAGCCATGGACAGTGAAGGGAGGAGGGAGGTCTTAGTAAGGGGGGGAAGAGCAGTGATGCGAAAGAAACAAACAGCTGGCACAAGGCCTGTTAGGGATGCTCCTTAGCCAGGCCCAAGTCCTAGAAGTAATCGTGTGCAGGGGTGAAGCAGACTCAGAGTTGATGGGGCATGCATAGCGTGGAGACCCGGGCTGGCCCTCAGAGTCTGAGTTCTGGAACATTCCCTCACCCTGCTTTCTTCTTTCAGACGCTATCCATGGCCTACCTCACTGGGATGTTGTCCAGGTAAAGGGAACAGATGGGAGGGGAGGGGGGCAGTAGGCTAGGTTGGGAGTCAGGGACTGGCCACACCCTGAGGGGAGCTGCCCCCAAACACTGTCCTTTCTGGGAGCATCTGGATTGGTGTGGGGGGGGGGTGGTGGTTCAGGCAGATAGGGAACACTGTCCCAGAGCCTCCTCCTCATGCACTCAGCTGGACAGTGACTCCAGGACCCAGCCACCGCAGTGGGGTAGGGATGGGGGATGGTGGAGAGCAAGGTGACGCCTCTCAAGCTGCAGCTTAAAAGACCCCAAGACTCATGGTCATGCAGTTACCAGGTACCAGCACAATCCCCTCCCCACCCCTGCTCCTTTGTGACCTCTCCCACCTGTTAAAGATCCTTCTAATACAATTTTTGGTGTAAGCAATTTGGGGAGGGGATCCAGTGGATAGACTGGAAATGCAGAGAGCAAGGAGGAAGGGGGATAGGGTTGGTCCAGGGGTTGTGGGATCAGGTCCTGGTAGAAAAAGAGGGCTGGGGGAGGCTCAAGCCTGCCTGGAAGCTGACCCCTTGGCCTGATGGTCCTGCAGTTACTACAACACCATGTCCGTGCTGCTGTGCCTGGGTATCACGGCCCTCGTCTGCCTCTCAGTCACCATGTTCAGCTTCCAGACCAAGGTCAGCTCTGAGGCCTGCGAGTAGTGACCCCTGGCCTGAGGCTGGGGTGGGTTGGGGGTTGTAAGCTTGGGCCAAGGCTGAGGAGAAGTAAAAGGGGTGAGGAGGGTCTGAGGAGGTTACCTGGGGAGGGCAAGGAGAAATGCCGGTTTCTGGGGCTGAGCATAGGACCACAGCCTGCTGTCTAGGCCTCAGCCTCTGGCCAGCGCTCTGCCCCACTGGGACCCTCAAAAATGCCAAGCAGCTCTGACACTGTCCTGTCCCCACAGTTTGACTTCACCTCCTGCCAGGGTGTGCTCTTCGTGCTGCTCATGACTCTTTTCTTCAGTGGGCTCATTCTCGCCATCCTCCTGCCCTTCCAATACGTGAGTCTCTAGAACGCCCAGTGGGCCCCTGGGGAGGAAGGGAGCGGGCCTGCCAGGTGTGCGTGTTCTTTCCTTCTGCACCGTCCAGAAAGGCCCAGGGCCAAAGCCCCACAGCCGGGCAATCCTGTCTGGCCTCTCATAGCACCTGCCACGTGCATGTTGGCTGTGTGGGCAGCCAGAGAGCTAAGCAAACAAGGTGGCTTTTCTTGGCAGGTCTGGGCACCTGCCCAGCTCCACAAGCCACATCCGGCTTCATCTTTCCCATCCTCCCCTCTCAGTGGAGGGAGGCTGAGGGAGGGTGGGGAGCATTTAAGCCCCAAGCAGAGAAGGGAGTACTGAACAGGGTCAACCAGGCCCAGAGGGGCCCTGAGGAAGGCCTTCTAGGGCTTTTGGGGGACCAGTCAAGGCCAGAGGGCAGAACCTAGCTGGCTGGCCAGGTGGGAGGTGGGGCAATGGGGCTCAGCATACCCCTGCCCATTAGGGTGGCCACGGGCCCACCAAATCTCAGCCCTTAGACATGTCCAGCCTGTCCTGGGGAAATCTGATGATGACTGACTGGTTTCAGTGACCCATTCCAGGAGCCCCAGATCACTGCAGATGGGGATGGGGACAGACTGAGGACATCACAGGAGAGGCTTGAGGTTTGAGTCCTGGGGAACCCAAGAGGGAGCTAATGGACCCCTACTGGGAGCTCAGTGGTCCCTCAGCTCACATCCCGCCCCCACTCGTAGCCGTGTTTGTCATGTGCTCCCCCACCATCCCTTTTCTGTGGGGCTGGGAGAAGCATTCCTTATCCCCCTCCTCCACCCCCATCCTGCCCAGCTCCAGGGCATTTGGCTCTCAGTCCAGGACATCAGGATTTGGTCTGGCATTTCTTTGGCTCTTTCCAGGATCCTGTTGACTAAGGGAGGGGCCGGAGCTGGCCTGGGGGCCCTCTGTGTATCTAGGATAGGGAGGTGGCTACAGGAAGCGTCTCCCAGAGCTTCAAAGAACGCTTTGTTGACCCAGGTCAGGCTGATGGGAGGCCTGGGTTTCCAGGAATCCTTTACCCTGTGGAGGGCCTGGCTGAGGTGGCACCCCTTACAGAGCTTTCAGACACAGCTGGGTGCCTCTGAGACCTGGGGTGGGGAGCAGAGGAGGGGAAGGGGCACAGCTCCAGCTTGTGCAGGCAATCCTATTGTGCTGGCAGGGACCACAGATGATCCCCCTACCCATCCCTGAGTTCAAGTCTTTGTCCCCTCCATCTGAGCCCCTCACCCCCATGAGTTGGGCCAGGGAGCTCCCCAACAGAGGGACAGACAGACCATCTACTGGACAGGGATGAGCACACACCAAGAGGTGGGAGCAGCCCTCAGGCCAGAACCAGGCTGGGAAAATGGCGGCCCCAATGGGATATGTCATCCTCGTCTGCTTGAGCCTGAGGCTATGTGTTGAGGGGAGAAGCTCCTGGGTAGGTTGGGAGCTTGGGGAACTCCCCTGCAAGCCCGTTCGTGATCTCTGTTATCCTGGGGCTCCCACCACCTACAGTTAGCACACCGTTGGGTCCTGGAGCTTCTCAGGGACAGCGAGGGGGCCCGGAAGGTGAGAGAGGGGCCTGATGGGGAGGGAGTGCTATCCCACATCCTCCACTCTCTGGACTGAGCCCTCCTCCCTGCCCCTCTGCCCTGTCTCTCTATCCCTAAGCCCACTTTGCCTCTGCCCCACAGGTGCCCTGGCTCCATGCAGTGTACGCAGTGCTGGGAGCAGGCACGTTTACGTTGGTGAGTGTGGCCCAGCTCCCTGAGTGCTCGGCCTTCTCAGTCTTCTGGTTGTCTCCCCAGGTCCCTCCATCATCCTCGTCTTCCTCACAGTCCTCCTCCCTGGACCCTTTTGAAGCATCTGTTTTCAGGGCTGGGCTCAGTGCTGCATCTATGGAATTCCATCTGGTCTCCGAGACAGACCAGCTGACCTGGGCAGGGGGAAGGGAAGGTTGTAACAGCAGAATTGAAGCTTTAGACAGAGGCAGAGCTGGGCAAGAGGAACCCCTCCCTTCTGGAGTGGGTCAACACTGCTTGTAGGGGTGGGGGAGGAGAGGTGTCCTGGCCACATGGACCAAGTAAGTAGTGCTCTCCCAGGGGTAATCTGGGAAGGCTTCTTGGAGGAAGGGAGCTTCCAAGTCCCCTGTGAGAGACACACTGTTAGACTGAGCTTGTTCTTTGTTGTTCTCAGTCTCAGCTGAAAGTTAATGGCAATGATTATGATGAAAGTAATGATAATAGTTAATATTTATTGAACACTTGCTTTTCACCAAACAAACTCTCCATGTGCATTTAATCCTCACTATAAATCCATAAGCTAGGCTCTGTTGTTATCATCGGGCCCCTGGGTGGTGCAAAGAGTTAGGTGCTTGGCTACTAACTGAAAGGTTGGCAATTCAAACCTAACCAGAGGTACCTTGGAAGAAAGGCCTGGCGATCTACTCCAGAAAGGTCACAGCCATGAAAACCCTGTGGAGCACAGTTCTACTCTGAACACATGGGGTCACTATGAGTCAGAATCGACACAACAGCAACTGGTATGGTACTGATATCAGCAAGTTATAATGAAGAAACCGAAGCTCAGAAACTTTGAATCACTTGCCCAAGGTCATACAGCATCCTAGAAAGTGATGGGGCCAAATTAGGAACCTGGACAGTCTGGCTCCTGAGCCCCACTTGGGGTCTGAGGCTAGGTGGGGGGGGGGGTGGCCTGGGAGCAGATGCCCAGAGGACAGGGGTGACCTGGAGCAGCCCAACTCGGGCCCTTTGCTCAGGTGGGCTCCAAGCGTGTGAATGTGGTGGTGCTCAGGGTCCACCTAGGTGAGCAGGCCCAGTGTGATGTCATCTTCTTGGGGCGGGGGGGTCCCAAGATAAGCATGCATTGCCAGTGGGAACAGTAACAAGACTCTCTCCTCCCTCGTTGGAACGTTCAGCTCAACTCAATCTGGTCAGAGTCCCGCTTAGTCACAGGCTCTAGAGGCTTGTGGGTGACAGGTCAGGGGTGCAGAGTTAGGGAAAAGGGTGAGGGTCAGAACTGTGAAGGTTTGAGGGTTTGGGATAGGGATCAAGCCAGAAATGGGGGTGTAGAAGGTTCATTCATTCATCTTCTCCACAGGTCTTTACTGAGCACCTACTGTGTGTGCGGAAACCCTGGTGGTGTAGTGGTTAAGTGCTATGTCTGATTAACCAAAAGGTCAGCAGTTCAAATCCACCAGGCACGCTTGGGAAACGCTGTGGGGCAGTTCTACTCTGTCCTATAGAGTTGCTATGAGTCAGAATCGACTCCATGGCACTTGGTTTGGTTTTTGGTTTTTACTGTGTGTGAGGTGCTGGTCTGTGGCAGGGAGTGCCAGTGTGTGGCACCGAGTGGCAGTCAATAAGTATTTGTGGAATGAATAAATGACTTCCAGGCTCAAAACTTGAAGGCTAGAACCTAAAAAGGAATCATCGACTAAAACTCCAAGCCCCTCCTTTTACAGATGACAGAACTGAACCCTAGAGAAGTTAAGTGATTTGTCCTAGGTTTCCCGGCAAGATGATGGCAAATCAACAAAGTGTGGCTTTGGTCAAGACTAGGGTGACCAACTCACCCCAATGTACCCAGGAATTTCCTAGTTTTATCCCTGCAAGTCTCCTTCCTAGGAAAATCCTAAATCCTGAGCAAACAGGGTGGGTTGATGACCCTGAGGCACTAACTTCTCTGGCTCTGGGCCAGGGCTTTTTTCCTGCAGGCAAAGGCTTCAAAAGAAGTTTCCATTTAAAGGATGGGGTAGGGAATCAAGCTAGGAGGGAAGAAGGGGGTCACAGGTGGGAAGGCCTCAGAGGGCAGCATGTGCCCAGGGACAGAAGAGGCGTCAAACCAGGGGAAGTGAGGCTGCAGAAGAGTGGGAGAAGGTGAGCATCAGTGTAGGGCCAGGAGTTAGCTTTGCGCAGATCCGGTCATAGCAAGTGTGTGAGCTCCGGAGGGAGGCTGTGCATACAATTGGGGCTAGATGAACAGTAATCTCTTAAATTTGTTTGATAATCCCTTGGATTATTAGGATAATAAAAATAATCCCAGCCATCTCTTCCACCCTTCACATCTTACAAAGCGCTTTCATACCTATTGCCTCATTGGATCTCCATCACCAGCCAAGGAGGGAGGCAGAGCTGGTGGTGTACAACCTGCTTTCTGCATTGGAAGGCTGGGGCTTCCAGGGCTGGCTCAGAGCCCCACTACCAGTAAGGGGCAGATTTAGGACCAGGACCCAGGTGTTTTGTGCCCAGCCCAGTGCTATTGCTAGCATCGCTATGATCTTCCCTCAAACAGGACAATTTTTATTGGCTTGGAGTTGGGGTGAGGCTGGGGAAGTCCTTCCAGCAACTCTCCCTTTCTCTCCTGTATCGTCAGTATTTCCTTCTCTGCTGGATTATTCCCATCAGCACCAAAAAAGCTAGGATTTCTTCCATCTCAAAAAAACAAAACCACAAAATACTCTTGACCCATACCCCCCTACCTTCTACCTCATTCATAGCAAAACTCCTTAGAAGAGAATCTACACTCATGGTCTTCAATTCCTTTCCTCCCTCTCTCCCTCCCTCCTTTTTCTCCTTCCAGTTCCTCTCCTTCCATTCTCTCTTGAACCTTCTTAAAAACGCTCTCATCAAGGTCACCAGCAGTCAATTCTAGTCCTCCTCTTATTTGACCCGTAGCAGCATTTGATACAGTCGATCATTCCCTCCCTCCAGAAGCATTGTCTACATTTGGCTTCCAGGCCACCATATTCCCCTGGTTTTCCTCCTGCCTCCCTGATCATGAGGCTCAATTCCCAGAACTTTAAACAGTGGACAGCCCTAGGGTTGCTATGAGTCGGAATCAACTCCAAGGCAACGGGCTTGGTTTTTGGTTTGAGAGCCATCAGATTCCTCTTCTTCAGCTCACTCCCTAGGGGGTCTCAGTCAGTCTCCTAGATTTGAATACCATGTTTTATGCTGTTGCCTCTAAAATTTAAATCTCTAGCCCAGATTTCTGCCTTGAATTCCAGACTAGAATTTCCAGTTACCTACTCAGTATCCCCACTTGGAAGTCTAACAGACATCGTAGACTTAACTAGCCCCTGCTCTTTTCCTAAACACCTGCTCCTCCCACAGCCTTCCAGGTCTTTGTGAATGGCAACTCCACCCTTCCAGTCATTCAGGCCAAATGCCCTGATAACATCCTCATCCTTTCTCCATTTCTCACACCCCCATCTGGCTCCACCTTCTATCCAGAATTTCACCACTTCTCTCCACCTTCATAGCTGCTCTCTGGTCCAAGTCACCATCAGCTCCTGCCTGAATTATTGCAATGGCCTTCTACCAGCAGTGCTGCCCTCACCCTCACTGTCCACCACAGTCTATTCTCAACACAGCAGCTAGAATGATCCTGCTAAACATAAATTAGGTCAGATCATTCCTTTCTTGGCATCTAGCTATGGCTTCCCACAGCCTGCAAGGGCCTACATGATCTGTCTCTCACCGACCTCATCTCTTCCCATTCTCCCCTTCACCCATTCCGCTGTGGCCATATTGGCTCCTTGCTGCTCTTCAACACGTCAGGCACACTCCCAACCACAGGGCCTTTGCACCTGTGTCTGTTCCCCCAGATATGCTCCCAGCCCCCTTTCTCCCCTCCTTCAAGGGTCTGCATGCACACAAAGCTCTCTACCCCTTCCCTGCTTTATTTCTCTCCATAGCACTTCTCATCCCCGACATACCATGTATTTTTCTGATTTATTTGTTGTTGGTCTCCCTCCAACAGAATTTAAGTTCTTTGAGGTCAGGGATTTTTGTCTGGTTTGTTCATCACTGCATCCTCAGTGCTAGAACAGTGCCTGGCACACAGCAGGTGCCTGTAGATGTTCGCTGAATGAATGGATGCCTGAGAGGTGTGATGAGGGGCGGTGCCAGGCCCACAGAGGTGCTGTCAGAGCAAAGGCAAGAAGGCATCAGCTGCACAGTTCACTCCAGCTCTGCCTTAGTCAATGTTCTGTGAGTCACTGGGGAGGAAGAAACACAGTTCCTAATTAGCCGTTAATGTCTCATTACCAGATCAGCACACCAGATGCCCTTGGCTGGGATCATTCTGCAGGTTATGTAAACGATGGTCAGGAGCACATTCAGTGAATCCCCCAGCTCCATCCCCTGTTCACTTTCATCTTCATCAGGAGGGAAGACATGTGGCAGGTCCCCTGGGTCCCATGGCGTAGGGGAAAGTTGAGGAGGGGGCAGCTGGACTGACCTCCCTCTTCTGCCCCTAGGTTCTACCTCTGGGACAGGTGGGCAGAGGCTCTCGGAGGCCTAGCCCCACGTGAATTAAGGTCCCCATGCCCTGCTGTTAACCCCAACTCAGAAGGTCCTGGACCTCTCTCCAACCTGTTTCCAGCTTCAGTTCGGTCCTGTAGAATCATGTGGTCTCCTAGCTCCAGCCCATCTCCAGAACCAGAGCCAGAGCCTAGCGCTCCCTGCTCAGTCCATCCTCCCACCCTGGTTTGGGGGATTTTCAGTACAACGGGGGACTTCCAGCACTGAAGCTAGGCAAGAATTACAAACTGCATTCTGCATAGAGAGAGGGGTAAAGAGAAGCGTCAGAGGAGGTCCCAGACCCCCAGTGGGTACCACCCCTCTCCCCAACTCCCACAGCCTGGGCATTGGAGGGGCTGTAAGAATCAAATGATTTTCTCTCCTGGAAACCTCAGCCCCTCCCCTGACAGACTCTGCCATCT